CTATAGATTTAGAAAAGTTTTGAGTAAAATTTCAATCAATTATCTAAAAAAGAAGAATTAGGTGTTCTTGTTTTTAATTTTGGATAGTCTGATTTGAGTTGTCCACATATCAAGTTACTAATAGTAACGGTTAAACACAAATACTGAAATTTTTAAAAATGAATAATGTGTTGAATCTAAATTTTTCTAAGCCACATAATATTGAACTATGCTTTTTCATAGCATCAATTGACAACTCATGCAAAAAAAAAAGCTTTTAACAAGTTGAAAAGAATGTGCATCAGAATCCAGCCATCTCCAAGTTGCTAGCTACTAGACAAGCCATGAAGATAGATACACTTAACAAAACTGCGGCTTTGCCTCAACTATGTCAAAATCATATTCTAATATTATTTTATTAAACTATTAATATCGGCAAACCAGATTAGTTAGCTTACCACTTGTTTGATGTAAGGCAAGATCAAAGGATGTTCAATTATTAGGGCCCCAGCAACTTTAAGCACCAGTCCCTCCTTAATCTGGAAATGGAAACAAATAATAATTACATGTTAGTGCCATTCCTTGTAGAAGACAACTAACTACTACAGTCTAAATAACTTTTACCAGCTTCTCAATGACTTCGTCTGGTATTTCGTGGAAATAAATCTGCAAGGTATCATTATATTGATATTTATTTCCAGATAGCATCAACTCTAAATTTTCACGGGAATTCAAATTGGCAAGCATCAAACCATAATGCAATTATTGACAATTGCAGAAATAGAACATGCACTATTCCAGTATGTCTCCACAAAATCAGTGTTTCATCAGCATCTATCTCCTTAAAATCAATGTTTCATAAGCATCAATCTCCTTGAGGGTGTGTTAGCTTCATGGAACACTAAGACTCTTTTTGATATCTTATGGTAATTTCTCTTTCCTGTGTTTGGTTCAATTTATAAAGGTTATGTGCAAGTGAAGCTCAAATTTCATGAATGTAATATTGACAAAAATAAGGTATTAATGTTTCAAAATATGATCTCCAGTAATGCTGGTAAACTTAGATTACCACAGTAACTGAAATGTTATAATCTCTGTTCTTAAAATGCTTGTTAACAGCAAATTAAACAGTACACACGCCACATTCCCAAACAATCCAATCTCTGCCCAAGAATGGGCCATGTTAACTTTAACCTGAACCGGGGTCATGCTCCCAAACTAACCAAACATAAGATTGTATTAATAAAAATGTTACACAATATTTTGTGGGGACTAAATATGTTAATGCTGGAATAATGGGACTGTTGCACGAGAAATAACATGGCTAATCAATCTAATTATCCATGGTAGTTAGGGATGACAATGGGACGGGTTCAAGGCAGATAAAAGCATACTTGAACTCAGCCCAAGCTGTGATCCAGAAAACCCAATTCGGGATGGGTTTAATTTTTTACTATTATTTCAAACCATAGTGGGTTTATGGATTATCCAACCCGTAATACCTATATATTATATTTTATAAATGTACTTTTCTTTTTTATTAAATCAAAAAATATATAAAAAATCATCAAAAAAACACACACATATATAAAGGAAACCCAACAGTACATGCCATATGCAACATGTCAGGACCCACCTTTAACATGTGAGTTCCAGGAACTTTAACTTTGGCAAATAAATTAATTTGTGATACTTGGTAAAATTTGAGAAATAAAGGCAATTTTGAAGAAAAGTAAAATTATGGGAGGAATTTAGAAATACAGAAATAGAAAGGGAAGAAAAGAAATTTAGAGAAAGAAGAGGGGAAGATTCTGGAAATAAAGAAACAGATGGGAGAGAGAAGAAAATTAGAGAAAGAAGGGGAGATCCGGAAGAGAGAGGAAAGAATAGATCAGGAGAGAGAGATGAATTTATGTATATTAAGTTATTTAGCTTATCTAAGAAATAGTATCTGTAAGTTTATTGATAGTATAAATTTACTATTTCTTCTTTAGTTAGGATCTTATTTATTTATTCTCTATTAAGGACATTCCAGTTGATTAGCTTATTTTCTTATTTAATAGAATTTTTAAGTAGACTTATGATATCTATTTTGATCGTAATCTAGTATCTATAAATAGGTTACCTTAACTTATTTATTAGGAGATTATTTATATAATTATTATGAAATTATTGATTTGTTTATTGAACCCTATGTTGTGGGATACCGATGCAAAAGATTTCTTTGGTTGGAACTAGTTCAGGAAAACAACATGGATCCAGAAGAGCCTCAATGTAGGGGCTTACCGGTTCCGACCATCTTTTGGCTCTTGCCGACAAACACCATTTAGAGGGGGAGTTATGTTATGCCCCAAGTTCACAAAAGAAAAGGAGAAAGCAAAAGCAAGCAACAGCAAAAAAAGAAAAAATCGACTCTTCTTCTCATGCAATTGACTCTATTTTGGTTTAGGTTTCTAGTTTAAGCTTTAATAGGAAAAAGCCTAATTAGACTGAGAGTTTGGAATAAGGTAAAATAGGAATTTTTTCACATGAAACTAGAAATAACAGTATCAGCTGAGAGTTTGAAATTAGGAAATCAGTGTTTTTGTGGAATAAAAATATAGGATATTTGATCAATAAAAGTTAGCCAACAGGAAGTCAAGAAAAAAGGGGTTTTTAGAGCACCTGACCCTAGGAGATCAAAGAGTCCTTCAACAGCCCCAGCTATACTCTATCAAGGCCAAACTTCAAGCAAGAAAGCTTTAGAAAAAGGTCAGACTTTTGACTCATTCTCCCTGCTCTATGTTAGGTCCCTTCTAATGGCGTCTGGGATTTGGGAGCTACACAGGTTTATGTAAACTGTTCTTCACCTGGCAGTAATTTTAGCTTTTACCACCTTGTTTACAAATTATTAGAAAGAATCCTATGAATTCTATTGAATAAATAGATACTTATAGGAGATACTGCTCTCTCTCTCCTAATTCCTAGGAAATAAAGCCCGATTACCCTAGCGACACATCACTAAATATATGGAGACAAAGCCCCATTAGGCCAGCACACCTGCAGCAACACATTATTGTTAAGCTTATTTTTTAAAAATAAATTAGTGTTCAGCTTATTAAGAAGAGCAATCCATGCAAACAACTTTACCTTCGAAGGAGCTTGGGCCTTCAAAAATTCTTTGGCAAAAGGAATGCTATAACAAACATAGTTGTCAGTTATATAGACAAAAAGGATTTGCCACTATATATTCAAAGGGGTCTCCTATCCAAATCCAAAGTATCAGGCTGTCTTTCATAGTGAACATGCTCCAACAAGCTTAATAGAGCTAGCATATTAGAAATTTCCCAATCAGATTTTTTTGAGATAAAAGTGAGTAATAAGATTGATATGATGCCAAAGGGGCGTCACACATATACAAGGTATAGAAAGGAAATCACATATCTATAAAAATATCTACAATAGATTCAAAATCTTCTAAGCTATCAAGGTTGTGACTTAATACAATAGAACCAAAAAAGTATAACCACCTATCCTTGATGGTGCCAAAATCAGTTTCTTTACCCTCAAAAATCCTACTGCTTCTTTCTTTCCAGATAATCCATAAAATTGTTAGAGGTATTAATATGTGACATTTGTTACTGGACCTGAGCCCTTCCCAAGCCAGCATTTCACCTTTAACAGACCCTATAATAACCCAAGAAATGCCCAGCAGGTTGTAAACCATAGTCCAGAGATCATAGGTGACACCAGAGTAAAAGGTGGCTGCAAGATTCTAGGTTCTGTCTGCATAAAGAACACCAGTGGCCAAAGCATGAGGTACTCTAGCGTAAGTATACGCCCCTTAGCAGCTTCCCAGGCAAAATATGATATTCAGGTTCGAACAAGAGAATGCCAGAAAATTTTATGGGTGAAACCAGAACAGGAAACAGGGCTGTCAACCAAAGATCTGTAGAATGATTTAACAAAGAACACACTGTTTTTGCAAAGGTTCCAGCTTGATCTGTCATCCACACTGCTAAGTCTGATGCCAGCCAGTAACTGGAGCAAATTTTCATATTCTACCAACCTCCAATCATGCAAGTTTCTGTTGACAACCACTTCCCAAGATGAGGGGGTGCCTACCCCATAAGCATTCTCAATGAGCATGGACTTGTCTCTCACAATAGTAAAAATGAGGGGAAAATGACTTTGAAAATTCTCTGATCCGCACCAAACGTCCTGCCAGAAACGAGTCTTGTCACATTTACCAACCACCCATTTGGAGCAATTAAGGACAGACTGACAGGTTTGCATTATGCTCTTCCACAGACTCAGTCCAAATAAATTATTATCCACAGTAGTCTGATCACATACAAATCATTACCAAATCATTTGCAAACAATAATTTTGTTCCAGAGGCTATTGTTGTCATTCCAAAATCTCCAGATCCATTTCCCATGGAGGGCTTTGTCATCCCAATCAGATAGATTTCTTAAAAACGAAAGTTCCAGGCAACAAGACCATTTGTACAGCTGGCGAAAAGCAAAATAGGGGGATTATGACTCGAAGAGAGATTGTAAAAACCAGGAAATTAGATGCCAATGAATAATTGCAAATCCAAGTGTCCTCAACAAAGTACAGTTCTAAAACCATCTCCCACTTAAAGACGGGTTAGAGGAAGGTACAATGGGTGGGACTTGGAAGATAGCCTTCCATGAGATGTGGTTTTGCCCTGCTAGAACATCTCATCTATTCTTAGAAACTAAATTGATACTGGTGATCATCCGGTGCCACAAGGAGCTTGGTTCCTACGAAAAATGTCAACACCATTTTGCCAATATAAATGAATTTTTCGATACAAGATTCCTATGCCTAAGCCACCATAAATTTTGAACCTCCAACATACAACCCAAGTCACTAAGTGATCCTTATGTTTATCCACAGCCCCAACCCACAAGAACTTCCTCATACACCCTCTAGTCATTCAACCACCCCAACTGCAACTCTTTATAAAGACAGATTACAAAGTGGTATACTAGACAGACACGCCTGAGCTAGAGGGACTCTACCCCCAAGAGACAATAAGTCCCTCTTCCAACATGCCAACCCTTAGTCACTTTATTAACTACTCCATCCCAAAAAGATCTACATAGAATCATGACCTGACACAAACAAATCAAAGAATATTCATTTTTTTCCATTTTCTGAGTCCGATATTGTTCCACCTTTCAAGACAATATCAAAATATTTCTTCTCTATTACTAGATATCTCCTGGGAGGAGATATTAAAATTGCAAGAAGAGAGAAAAATCAGAGGCAAGAAGTGCTAGGCACAAACACAAAACAACAGTAGTGAGAGAAATTAATTGCAATTGGAAGGTCAACTGAAATAATGATTGTTAACATTCTAACCTTAAAGATTGGATCTCTAAGCATGATACTTCTCCAAGTAAATCTAATCTGAACTAGATACCACTATATAGTTAAAGTTTGTCATAACATAGATCCAAAAGTTTAGATAATACCTGTACTCTGTCCCATTGTCCTTTCCTTATTCCTGTTTTAAGATTTGTTATCATCACAGAACTCACTGTTGCAGCATTCCTCCCAGAATAGCCTATATACCACGTTATTGCCACAGAACCTTAAAAGAGTAAGTTAGCAAGGATTTAAAGTGAAAAAGACTTGAGCAAACCTTTTATAAATTCTCGCGCTTCTTCCTCACAGGAAGGTTTCTCCCTGATAACACCTTCATAGACCACCACCTCCAGATCATTTGATAACAACAGTAAGAAATAACAAAAAACCTCATTTTCTCATAAAGAAGAACATCAGTCACATCACCGAAAGGCCATTTGTGTTCTGAGAATAAGAAGTATATATTTTCTATCTTTATTTCTTTTTCTTTTCTATCTTATGGATTCCATTTCTCAAGTCCTATTATCCGTTCATTTTCTTTCTAATAAGTTGCTACAATTTCTTGAAAAGTCAAGTACCTATAAATAAAATAGACACTATCAGCTTTTTCTAATAAGTTGAAAATGTCCAGCACCACTTCAGATGATAAGATATTATTTTTTTTGAAATAAAAAGTATAATAAGTATCATTAAATACAAGCACGAAGGAGCTGCAAACCCATGTACAAAATTATTTACATGTTAATAAGGTACCAATAAGTTCTCTTAAATCCTCCATGGAGTACAAAGGTTGACCTATAACCAAAAAACCTAAGGCCAGGAACCACCTCTCTCTAAGTTTATTAGTACCCTCCTCTACCCCATCAAATGTTCTCCTATTTCTTTCTTTCCAGACTACCCAGAAAATTGCAAAGATAATGAGCCCCAAATGTTTTTCCCAATCAAAAGTACCCTTCCAAGCCCAAATCTCATCCCTTATGGTACTAGTCATAACCTAATTGAATCCTAAAATCCCATAAGTCATAGACCACAGCTATATTCAATAGAGCACCAAAGTAGAATATGGTCACAAAGTCTCATCTGCCCTCTTACATAAGCAACACCAGTTTACCATGATCTTTCCCCTTCTCATTAGCTTATCAATGGTCAAATTAATGAAAAAAGAATTGTATTTCTTTTATTAATAATGGGAAACCTCACATGCCTATGTTTAGTTAGTGCGCATACATCATAGTGCAACTCTCCATTATTTGGGTTTTTAAACCAAAGGAAATATAACATTTAAAAAAGAGAAAGACCTCACAGTGCAAATCTTCATTATTGGGGTTTTTAAACCAACGGAAATATAACATTTAAAAAAGAGAAAGATAGATGTCCAAGTCGTTTGTGATGGAGCCAAATTTTATTGGTGGTGTTGGTAGAGATGGAAAGAGAAAAATGGTCCGAGTACATCCAAGAAGTACAATTCGTTCCTAGCTTTAAGATGTCGAATTATCACCAGAGCTCTGGTTCTGAAAGTCGAAATGAGAAGAAAAAAATGTTATCTTGCAATTCAGGCCTTGTGATAACTTAATCACTGATACTAAATTGTGCATAATCTCAGAACATGAAGCATATTTTCAAGTATTAGATTGGGACTCATCTTGGTGGTACCCGTTCATCCACTTGTGATTAAAGAACCATTAACAATGACAATTTTTCCACTACTTAGACACTGTACATATGTACTAAATTACTGAGATAATTTGGTCATATGATCAATAGCCCTTGAGTCTATGATTTATTTGTATTCAAATGATCTATCTGAGGCATTTTTTTCAGAGAGAAAACTTACCAAAATGTGCTAAAAGACCAATATCTGTGGATTTTTCCAGGACTTCAAATCGAGTCCTTGGGCTACTACGAGATATTTTTGTAACTTCAATCTTTGCTGAAAGTAGTGGATTTACCATGGAGTTTCCAACATTTATCTTTGTTGTACCTAAGTTTCTTATAGAAGGTACACCATACGTTATTTCTACTCTTGCCCCTTGGTTTGGTGCTAGCATTTAGATGCTGCTCCTTCACTGACCAGACATAATTTTGGGCTACTTGCAAGCATAGCCAAGTTCTCTTTAGAGTGGGTTTCCAACATTACCTTCCTCCTCCTTTCCTGCTACAATGACTGAGATTAATTCATTTAGTGGCAGAGCTACATTATTAATCAGTATTTGAACTTTCACATGGTCAAACTCCACGTTGAGGCCTGCCAAAAACTCAAAGACTAACTTTCTTGACAAAAGCCTCTACAGCCACAACTTTACATTAATTGCATACAAAGACAACAGCAGTAATCTAACTCTTGTCATCAGGTCTTCAAAAAATTGGTGTCTCTATAATTTTTATACTTCTTTGTTCTATAGAAGTAGTCTTAACTTTCAAATCATACATCTAAGTTACATTATGGACCTTGGGATATGTCTGTTTCACTGCCTCCAAATTTATTTGGCATTAGGAAGGAACATACAACTGTCACAAATCTCCAAGATCATAGAATTCCAAAGTTAGACCATGACCATGGAGTCTTCTTCCTCCCATGACCAAACCTAAGATCTCCTTGTTGTGGCCCAGTTCCTAAAGGTAATTGATCTTCCTTTTACCTCTTAGGATTATACGGATTAGTTTGGACCACTTGAGATAATTGTTTCCATTCAGGCGATAGGCAGTCTAAATATGTTGTAACTCTCTAGTTGAGTTTTGCAAATTTACCATGTTGGGGTTTGCACTATTGGCTTGGGACACAACATTAGACATGGTCTAAAAATTAAAGTAATGTAGACTGGTTCGGTAGAAGCAACACCCTGCACAGATGGTACTGCTAGGCTGTGTTAAGCTGTGTGCGAGCTAGTATGGAGCAGTGCACAACTAGGAAGTAGGGAGCAATGGCATGCGGTTAGGAAGACAGTGATTGGAGTAGGGAGCAATAGTAGCAGCTGGGCCCTGATGGTGCGCCACTCTGGTGGTGCAAAGCCGTCCTGGGCGTGGGCAGTAGCTGGAGCAGGGAGCAGTGGCAACAGCTGAGTCCTGGTGGAGCGCATCTGTTCTGGGGCATGAGGATGGAGTTAAGCAGGTTAGTCTTGTGCGCGGTTATAGTAGGTCGAGGGACTGTGGTGTGCGACTTGAGGGGCCAGGGCAGTTGGATGGCGTGTGGCTGTGGGCCTTGCGGCTAGGTATTTTTTGGCTGTGAAGGCCAATTGTGAGTGGCTGTTGCGGTGGTGGCCGGTAATGAAGGCTGACCCTCTTAGGGTTTTTTCTTATTTCGAGAATGAAAGTCGATTAAGGTTTGTAAAGGAGTTATAATATTTTTCTAAAACTTTGATATCAAGTGGAAGAATAAAATAAATACTATTGAGAGAAAGTGTCCTATATATAAACAATTCTCAACATATAAAAGGAAACCCTTAAAATTAATTATACATGGGTATTTTAATTTTATACCCTTATATAACAAGTTACACATATATAATACTTTTAATACTAGGCAAAATGTGAGTCCTGATAAATAACAACAGAGGCAATAGAATGGTTATTACATGAGGAAAGCCTACAAGAACATGAATGAAAGAGATGAATTCCCAACCAAGTATCCTCCAGAATAAGAAATTTGGCCCACCTTTAAGCAAAGTAAAGGAGAAAAAGAAGGGTATACCTAAAAGATATATTTCCATTGGATTCGATGAATCATGTTTACCATCACTTTGGTACCCCAGCTATATTAATGAGGACCATATTTGCCTTTGATCAACCCTATGCCACAAAGTCAACGACTCAAGATTTTGAAAACACCATAATCATTTGTCCACGCTAGAGCGATATTTTGGGAGACTAAAATCCCAAGATCTACACCTGCATCTTCTTTTGTTTGCAACAAATATTTTGATGCACCAAATGATCCTCTGCCTCCCTACTAGCACCAGCAGAATGAAAATCCCTCATTATTTTCTCTATTTTGTTCGCCATTCCTAGGAAATCATAAAAAGAAGAAGGCAATAAAGGGAATACTTGACAAAAAAAATTGAAAGAGAATCGACCTACTCCCTTAAGAGAATAAAGCACATGTCTAATTGTCTAGCCTCATCTTGAGAATCATCTAATCCTAAAAGGTTCTCATTCCAGGAATTTCCCCCTAACAGAATCTCAAGATAATTGATCAGCCAATTTGAGATTACACATCCATTAATCTCCTCCAACCTTCTAAAGAACGTGATCATTAGCATTAATGCCCTCAACCCATATTCACTAAGTTGATTCAGAGGCCAGAAATAACCTCAAAAGCTTGGAGCAAGGAGATTGCATTAAGAAAATAGCTGTGGCCTTTAGAAGAAAATGGATAGAAATTGCAGATCTTAGACTTCCACCTAGCAATCCTCCCTCGGCCCCACATGTACCCACCTGAGTAAGGACATCATTGACTAGAGTAGATATGAAAGGAGAATGGATCACCTTGTCAATCCCTTGCTGCCCTTTAAACTAGGGTCAAGGTTTACCATTGATGATCACTGAAATTGCCATTGTAGAATGACAACCTAGTCTATTGTCCGCCATCTATCACCTAAAGCCTTTCAATAAAGGACCTTATTCACAAACTTCCAACTGATCTTTGAATGAAAGATACTGACCAAATATTTAAATAATAATAAGAAGAAAATATAGTGAAAGCATGATCTGTACTTGATCACAAGTAATCAGTAACTTTGGGTCAGCTTCCAGTACAGAGTCACCAATAGGGAGCCTTTGCATGATGGGTTCTACCTGAGAAGTTTTTACCAGCTAGAGTAAGAGTATGAGTCAAAAATGCACACAGCTGGACACAAAATGCAACACGACCACCACAAGCAACAATAGCATGTAAAAGATAATAATTCCATGTACAAAATGCTTTTTAACTAAAAAAATCATAGCATCAAGATCTACCAGTTTCTTAGTTACCTTTGGCCCAAAAATTGGGGTTACAACAAATTGTGGCTTTGAACAAAAATTAACCAAAAATAATGAATATATAATCTATACATAAGCATTAATCTGCTGCCACTTATTAACTTTGTTTTACTTAAATCATAATAAGCATAAAAATCATAATGAATAGACAGATTACTAACCAATTAAATGCTTAAACACTCATAGCAAAGAGATTATCATACCTTATTCTAATAGCAGACTGAAGACAATGATTTTACCTAAGATAAACTTCAATTATATTGATAATCTAGAGTAGTGGCAAACACTCATACAGTAAAGAACTGTTAAAGGACCTCAGTTCCCCACTGGTGAGCCACATCAACCTTGCAACCCAGGATGCTAGAAATGTAAAATATTAAAATTTCTACAAGATAACATATTCTCAGTCCATAGACAACCTTCGGTGATGCTCGACCGGTTACAATCAATTCCTAAGTATTGGAGAACCACTAATGATAAGAAAACAAGACATACAGTATCAGCTGCTATCAAAAATATTGCTTCTGAATCCAGTTCTTGGTTATTGACAGTTTGTAGTTTTGATACGATGGCATCAGCCTGGATCAGAATCAACCAAACCAAAAAAAAGAATAGGATGGTAAGGACACACAAAAAGAAACAAAATATAAAATGAAAATGGTAGAAAATACAATGTGAGGTACCTTTATTACTGGTGTTTTATTTTTCTAAATCTTGATTAATCTTTGAACCTTAGCCGATTTAATCAAAATAAAATGAGAAAAAACTAAAACAAAAAATTTGACTTCCTTTCCTCGTAGCTAACAAGAGAAAACTAGAATCTAAACTTAGAACATAACATATTAAGGAAATCAAGTCCTGAACTTAATACCTTTGCCTCAGCAAGGGCCATAACCAAGTCTTCAGGTTTTTCCTTCCGAATGCACTTCTCATCAATGTCAGCAATCTAAATAACCTTGCAAAATTAACTCTCCATAATTATATTACAACGAAATTACTAGTACTGTAACAACAATATATTAACTTTACCATCACTGTGAATTCATATCCCATATCAGCCAATATTTGCCGACGAGCTATGGAAGATGATCCCAATATTAGCTGCATAATAACACTATAAAATGGCTAAATTCCTCAAAAATATACTGACTCTGACCTATAATAACGTGTTCTTCTCTCAAGCGTAAGTATAGTATCAAAAAGTCAACACCAAATCTGCTCGCGATAGAGTTCGCCGGACAGATTTTGACGTTTGCAAGTTTCATCAAATTACAGCAATATACAAGTGAAAAATGGTCGGCTATACTTGGAGAAGAGAAAGATACGAAAACGGCATACCTTGAATGGACTAGCATTTGCTTCCATTCTTATTGCAAAATCAAAAATGAGTAGAAAGACAGAACAATTGGACAGGTTGAAAGGAATCGTTGTGCTAAACCCTGGTGCAGTGTTACGTGTCAACATAAATACATTCAACTTTGTTTTTTTAATTACAAAAAAGAATTTATAAAAAATAAATTTCTATATCCTTCAATTACAACTCCACTTTAACTTCATTTGTAATTATGTTATGGGAATCAGATATAATTCTAGAAGGAAAAAAAATGATTGTAAAAAGGACTATTATAAATGTTGTAATATATGAATAAAAATTATATTGAAATTAAAAAAATTTAATGAAAATATAAAAAAAACTACTACATTTAGATGTAATAAAACTATGCCAATGTTATTTGTTTAAACTAAATTAGTAAAATAGATACATATAAATCAATATACTTGACTTTCTATTTAAAGTGAATTAAAAAAAGCTAGATAAATACATATTAATATATTTTTTAGTAACAAAGTAAATAAATAATATTATATTAAAATTATCAATTTAAACTACCCAACTTAAGATTTGAACTCAAATTATCTCTATGAATGTGATTAGAAGTAACTACTTAACCATATAAATGAGGTTACCATATCTTCATTTTTCGTAAAGATCTATAGAATAAATAAAGTGTGAGTGAATAAATAAATTATAATATAAATTCTAAAGTTTGTTGTTGAGTAAGAATTAAATTCTATTTTAATATTTAAATAGATAAATGTTATATTTATTATCACAATAACTATATAGATAAGTAGTATATACATCAGCCCATTGGTATTACTTTTAAATTTAAAATTATTTAAAGCATTATTGGTAGTTAACTAAAAATTAAATTTTATTTTTATATTTAAAAGATTTAAATAGATAAACAATATATATTATTACATTAAATAGAAAATTTTTCAACAATTAAAGAATTGATACGTGACATTTTGTACTTTATTTTTATGTTAAAATAAATATTATAGTTAATTGGAATTAGTGGATCATTTAAGCAGTACAAAAATTGTCAGGTAATTGAGTCTGTTGTTTATTGGTTGAATTGTTTAAAAAATTCAAAATCTGAAAAATTGAATAAACAAATTAACAATAAAATTATCCAAATTGAAATTAAACAATATATTAAATATTGTGTAATATAAATACAAAGTATTCAACAAACACATGTCATATAAATAAATAAATCAATCAAAATGCATCATAAAAATCCATATAACCATAAAAGTATAATCAAATTTTAACCATATTAATTTATAATTATTACAATGAAAAGAAAAAGTATTGATGCATTAAAATTTTAATTAACAAAAATCATTCAAATCTAAAGAAAAATGTTGTTATATGCATTTATTATTTTAAACCATCTAATTAACTTCTTTTAAAGCCTTCAAGATATTAAAGAAAACTGTTTTGTTGTCACTAACATCATCATTTTCACTAATATCAAGTCAATTCAAGCCCATTACATCTATATTATATTTAAAGCAACAAATATATCATATCAACAAACTGAAATAGTAAATAAAAACCCAAGGGCTTAAACCCCAATCCTATTAGTATAACAATTTTTTGGACACTAATCGCTAACCCTCAAAAGTTTATATTCAAATTATTAATAGTATATAACTTGAACATTTATATATAATTCAACAATTATATATTTTTTTATGTAAAATTAATATCCTCATCAAGATAGTATATCATTACTATAAATCATAATCCAAAAACTCATATAGTTCAAGATCAAAGTAACTTGGAGTTACCAAATTAACACATACTCTGATACATTTGTAATGTCTCAAGCTCAAGCATTAGTAACACAATAACTTTTTGGACCTTAGGTACAAGCTCTTAAAAGCTCAAGCTCAAGTTATCAATAGAACATGACTTAAATTCTTATATAAAATTCAATAATCACATCTTTTTTCAATGTAATATTAGAATATCATAAGAAAAGTTGAAGAAAGTAATAATCACTAACATAATAACTTTTTGGACCTTAAGTACAAGCTCTTAAAAACTCAAGTTCAAGCTAATCAATTGAGCATAACTTGAATTTTTATATAAAATTCAATAATCACATATCTGTCTAATGTAATATTAGAATATCATAAGAAAAGTTGAAGAAAGTAATAATTGTTAACATAATAACTTTTTGCACCCTAAATACAAGCTCTTAAAAGCTCAAACTCAAGCTATCAATAGAACATAATTTTAATTCTTATATAAAACTCAATAATCACATCTCTTTTAGTGTAATATTAGAATATCATAAGAAAATTTGAAGAAAATAATAATCACTAACATAATAACATTTGGACCTTAAGTACCAGCTCTTAAAATTAGCTCAAGCTATTAATAAAATATGACTTAAATTTTTATATAAAACTCAATTATCACATCTCTTTCTGATATGAGATTGAAATATTACAAGAAATATAAGAAACATAAGTAAAACTATCATTATTTTGGTTGTTTATGATTGTGAATGATGATAAATTTAATTATTTTAGTTGTCTACTATTATTTATGTTAATATACTATTCTTTATTTTATTATTTTTTTTGAAGTCATAGATAGGATTTGTATATAAGTTTCCTAGATTTTAAACTTTGATTCCTAATGTAATTCTCTAGCCCTACACTTAATAGGTATCACTCATTAGTTGTATTCATTCAAGTTCAAGGTAAATAACATATAAGATTTTTGTTTTGGTAGCTTTTGGCTATTGTGTGCTCTTTAGGGATGTTTTCTCCAACCTTCTTAATGAGTAAAGAATCAGTTCAACTTATTAAAGTTACTCTTATGATGTTTTATCAGTTCTTATTTCTTTTCCTATTTATCTTAGTTCTCAATCGCATGTTGATTGCAAGTTAAGTGTAACATTCCAAATGTTAATTAAAGCATAAGGGTACTATATATAAAAACAAATACGAGTGCATATAACATATAATGCTTCGGTTAAATTCAAGAGCGTTAATATACTCTGTATATCTATTTTCAAAAAATCATACTCCGAATTGAATCAATTCGGTAAGTATTGTATGAATGTCATATGTTCCCTCTTTACATACAATTTCCTCTAATGAGTTCCAACAAAGGAATTTCACAAGACACCACTATCACTATTGCACATTTTAACATACAAACCCAATCTAACTACAAATAGAATAAGACTGTATACATGTATGTGAGTCAAGATGAATATAGTATCTTAATTATTGTGCCTCCTCTAATTGGTAAGTTCTTCTGTTGAATGCTCAGTGTCCTGTTTTACCACATCTGAAAACAATACGTAATGAGCATATATAAGCCCCGTAAGATAAATTAAGAATTTGAAACAAAGTTATGAAAGAAGAACTATTAAACTCCTAACTCGGTATCCCCTCTTCCTTTCCACTCATATTATAAAACTCTATCTTCATAGCAGCCAATTGCCTCCTTAAACCCCTACTTTCCATGAACCACACACCCCACTTTCATAATTCGACTCTACCCAACCAAAATCCCCTCATCCAGCCCACCAATACCACTAGCTCACTAAAGAACATAACACTAACAACAGTCACTGCACATTTCATACCTAAAAATATTCACCAATAAATAACCCACCAAGATTAACTAGATAAAACTAGGAACACAACAAAGCAGCTTCATGTATAAAATCACGCAAAGAGCAGCACTTAAACAACCATACAAACCTACAAAATTACATTACAGATATCTACATACCCTCACATGCAACATTCACTGTAGATGTCAACCATGAAATAACCAAACACACGCACACATAAGTCACCTCAATAGAATCAACATCTAAACAAATAGATAGAGACCACCGAGTAGCCACACACACACCAAACCATATACCCGATGACTACTAATTAACCATACATACACACACAATTCTGCCACTGTTGGCAACCCATCGGCCACCCCTAGGCCACACACTCATACCATTCCACCACTATTGGCTAATCACCGGCCACCTCAAGGCCACACACACACTACTCTGCCTCTGTTCGCCCCTCAACGGTATTTCAAGGCCACGCACACATTGTTTGCCACATTGGCACCCACCGGCCACCTCAAGGCCACACACACACTATTCCGCCACTACTGGCACCCACCGACCATCATTTGGCCACGCACTCACCCCACTTTGCCATCATCGAATGACCACTCATACACACACATAAAGCCATTATCGACATACCATGGCAACCAGCCATTGAATGGCCACTCATACACACACACACACACAGACCATTATCGACACACTAGAACACACACTCCTTCAAAATCCAGTGATGCTCCTAAATTTTTTACCTATTTCACCCATACCTCTCGGTCTCCACTCAATTCTATCCAATCACACCTATACTCGACTCAGACTTTCCTAAGTCCCAATCCTCTACTTGAACTCCTTGCAACAGTACCTATTTCCTTTCCCCTTCCACTCCTTGCAAGCTAAAAAAATAAGAATTCAAGGTGTATCACTATAACTAGGTTTGAAATTTGAAATTTCCTTACCTCTTGCTTCTATCTTCCTCTATCTCAATAAAATCCTCCTTAATCCTACTTCTCCTAAGGCTTTCAGTCACCATGTCACACTTTTTCCTCGTTCGCCCTTGTCTCCTCCCTCTTCTTTTTCGGTCTCGTTCTCTTCTTCTTTTTCTTTTTTTTTCTTCCCCCCCTTTTTAGCCCAGACTCCCCTTTTCATACCCAACCCAAACTCAATCCTTACCATTGAAACTCCTCTACCTGCCCCAACTACAATCATATCCGTTGAAAACACCTCTATAAAATTTTCCCTCTAAAATTCACCCTAATACATTATATAAGATAAATATATGCAGTGGAATAAATAATTAAAATCTCTTACAAAATAATAATAGAGTTATATACAATACTTAGGCAGGAAAAAAAAT